GGGCAGACGCTCCTTCCTGCCCACTCCCAGGCACTGCAAGTCAGTAAGTTCTCGAGCTTCCACAGCCTCAGCGTCCTTGCTTTTCAAATGGGTTGATCCTAAACACCTTCAAAGGCCCCGAGCCAAGAGGAAGAAGCTCATGAACATGAAGATAGCAGCCCCAGAGCAGAGCTGTTTATTGACAGGACATCTTTGAGTTTTAGTCACTGACTAGTTTGGGGGTTTTTTGTGTATGTTTCCTGGGTCTTGCCCTCCCTGTCCCTTCTCAGGGGCAGCGCATCAGCACCACCGTGATGGGCCATTGAAATCACTGGTGGTGGCCAGCGGTGGGGTGAGTGCCTGCAGCTCCACACCCTGGAGACTGGGCTGGTTTGCTCTGAAACCCTGGCACTCTGGGTGTGGCCAAGTGGACCAGGGTGAAGACTGGACCCAGGCTTCCTTCTAGGAAATGAGGAGTTGGAGTGAGAGGTGGACAAAAACCTGGGAAGTGAGGACTCAGCTGCACGCCCTGTGATGGGACAGAGGGGCCCAGTCTGCAGTGTGGGGACATGGGGACGTGGGGACATCGAGGGTGGCAGGCAGTGGGGTCCAGTGCCTGGGGCCCAAGCGTCCCCCATGCCCACTGCCCCGACTCCCAGTCTCTGTAGACGCCCTTGCTCTAGGCTGTGACTGGCAGGTTCCTGAGTCACTCACGCCTCTGCCATCCCGCGTAGAGCCTGGCCAGAGCCTGTCCAACACTTCCCCAGAGGGAAGCTCTGCCATTTTCACATGGTGCACGTCTCAGGGGCACCGCTGTGGGCCCCACGCGGCTGTGGGGCAAAGCGTCCACGCAACCTCTACAAGGGCAGCTTGGTTATCGAAATGCCGGCCTTGCTCAGAGAGGAACTTCATCAAACACACAAAGAAGGCTTGTCGAGTGTCACGCAGCTCAGCCAGGCTGCCCCTTAGGTCATGCTATGGCAGCAGCTCCGGCCCTTCAAGGTCACAAAGAGGACAGCAGGGCCCGGCGGCGGCCGTTGCTTGGTGCTGCTGTTCAGTGCGGGCTCCACAGAGAAGCTTCCGTCTTGCGGGGCTGCCGCCTCCTGTGTCCGTCATTTGTGCATCGATGTCTCTGTCCTACTAAAGGAACTTCGCGCCTCAGCAAGCCAGTGAGGGGCTTCCTGAGCCAGGGGCATCTGTGTGCCTAAGGTCCAACCCTAAAGAGAAGTTTGGTTTTATTTTGGGCACTGAGGGAGCATCTCAGAAGCTGTGTGGTCACTCCGGTCATCACAATGATGAGGGGACACAAGTGACATTGAGCAGATGGGCACCAAGGATGCCAGGTCCCCGCAAGGCACAGGACACACCCACCCAGCAAACCATCCCGGGGGCCACGTGGCTTTAGCCCCCATCAGACATTCATAGGCAGAAATCCCGCATCCGGTGATCCAGGCCTGAAACCTCACACTGTTCTCCATAAAATTAGGAAGGATTATTTCTGCAGTTTGATGTACATTATGTGTCAGGAATGCAACAGTCACATAAACCAAGAGAAGCTGAAATTGTCACATTACTGAGAGGTTTTCGCCATTTACAAAATTATACCAAGTTGCTACACTGCTCATGACACGTGAGTCACGAATGTGACCCTTCCGTGTCCGTCTGCTTTTTGTAGCGGCCACATTTGTGGAGATTTTACATGCCCATGCATGCACACACACAGATACAGTCACTTGGCCCTTATTTTTTAATTGTGGAATATACATACATTGAATATTGTCTTCCTTCTTTTACCCAAACTCATTTACTTCACTGTGTGTTCAGGTGTAGTTGTTTTGAAAGTTTTACAAATTGAAATATACATATGTATACATACACAGAAAAAAATTCCTTTTATTTCCCCAGTATATTTTTATTTTTATTATTTATTTATTTAGGTATTTATTTATTTATTTGAGACTGAGTCTTGCTCTGTCGCCCAGGCTGGAGTGCAGTGGCGTGATCTCCACTCACTGCAACCTCTGCCTCCCGGGTTCAAGCGATTCTCGTGCCTCAGCCTCCTGAGAAGCCGGGATTACAGGTGTCACCATGCCTGGCTAATTTTTGTATTTTTAGTAGAGAAGTGTTTCACCATGTGGGCCAGGCTGGTCTCAAACTCCTGACCTCAAGTGATCCGCCTGCCTTGGCCTCCGAAAGTGCTGGAATGACCAGTGTGAGCCACCGCATCTGGCCTATTTCTCCATTATATTATAGTTACATCATTATATTGATTCTTTTTTTTTAAAAAAGGTGTGCCCTGCTAGATTATACAATCCATGTACAATTTCACTTCAGGATAATCAAGGTATCCTTAAAAATAGGTGGTGTTACGAAATGGAGGCATATCTGTGGGGTTCAGTGCAGGGCTAGGTGGGCTGCCCATCTGTGGCCCCCAAGCTCACAGCCAGCCTGTGCTGAGGGGTGCTGTCAGTGGGAAACACACACCGATTCTGAAGACTTAGTGTGGACAAAAAATCTAGACTATCTCATTAACGTTTTTATGTTGATTTCATATTGACTACACGTTGGAATGATATTTTTGATACAAGAGATTAAATCTGATCTGCGGATTAGTTTATCATCCATGGATCTACAGAGCTGTCATCTGTTCACTGACTGATCATCTACCATCTCTCTACCTATCTATTGTCTAACATCTCTCCCTGATTACATTACAAACCATGAGTTGAAGTGGATGCCTCTGCTTTCAGCCCCACTATTTGGCTGAGTCCTTTCCTGGCAGGGAGAAGCCCAGCATCTCTGTCTTCAGTGCATGATGCCCTGTGCACCTGCCCTCCTGGCCACCCTGACCAAAAACTGGACCGCAGCAGCCTAGGCTGGGTCCCCATCCCCAGTGAGGCAGAATGCTCTGCCCTGGGAAAAGGAGTACAGGAAAAGGCCATTAGCACACTGGACCCTGAACACCCCCTGCCTGTCCCCACCCCTTGCTTTGGGCTCCCTGGAAGGGGGGGGGGTTCCTACCCTTCTGCCCGCCATGAGTCAGGGCCACCGCAGCTCATGCTCCTCACCTGAGCCACACACGGGCACAGGTTTGCTTGGTTTGTGCTAACTACTAGAAAAGACGTTTTACCTCCCTCTCGCATAAACAAGATAGAGTAAAAAAACATTTTCCTGGCGTTGAAACCATCTGAAAGCTACCAGCTGTGACTCCTCTCCAAAACCTGCTTCGCAGCCTATTCTCAGAGCCAGAATGATTGCTGATAGGAAACAGAGTGTTATTCTTGGTCTGTGCTTGTGACCCGCACCCCCATTCCTCCAAATATGCGCTCCTCCTGGGACCCTGCTCTTGTACCTGTTGGGTCCGAGAAGGCACGTCAATCACTGTGGGCCCAGTGGAAATGGGGGCAGCCCCAGCGGCCATCCTTCCAGCAGAGGATGTGGTGGGCAGCTGTCTTCACCATCCATCCCCTTGTGAGGCAGAGAGGAGCCCTGTGGTGGAGTGGGGCTCAAATGTGCCAGTCCAGCCCCATGGCATGGGAAGTCACAGGCCAGTCTCCAGAGCTGTTCCTTGTCTCCTTTAAGACTCACAACCCTCTGGTCTCACCTGGCTTTGCAGAGGAGGAAGCCGGGCTTTAGAGGCCAAGCAAACCATCCAGGGATGCATCCTGGGAGGTGGCAGAGCCACCATGGAAACCAGAGTCCATCTGGCCCTGGAGTCTGCAGTGGGGAATCCCGGGGGCCGCGTTTGTGTCAAATCAGATGACAGGTGTGAGGCTGGCCCCAGACGCCCCCTCCCTCCCTGACATAGCTCCTCATGCGGAGTGTGGTGGACAACCAAAAACAGTGGTGAAGAGAGCTCGGGGTGAAAGGAAAAGCACAAACTCGAGGAGGCAGAGGTGGCAGCTCTGTGTGAGGCCTGGTGGCTCTGGGGCCGTAGATGCTCAGCGGCGCCTCCCCAGAGCTCACAGGTGGGGTCTGCAGTGGGCCCAGGCTGACCAGCTCCACCAGGAAGGAGGAGCTCCCACTGTGGGGTGCTCACGCCCCTGCCCTCCTGCCGACGGCCGTTCCTGCCGGCTCCCGAGTTTCCCGGGGCAGGGCCTTTGGGGCCCAGGGTGGCCTCTGGGGAGAGTCTGATGAGGACAGCGAGTGCCTGCTGTGACACCTGGTGGCCGCCACTCTGCAAGGAGCTCCTCTGTGAAGCCTGTTCCGCGTGATGGTCTGGGAGGAGTTGGAGGTCCCATCCACATTCATGAGGGTGCTTTGGAATAAAGCCAGGTTTATCGAGTCCACATGAAACCTGTTTATTTCTAAGCACATATGCATTATAAAGCAATGACAAAACACACAGTTTTAGGAGAAAAACTCATTAATGCGTTCAATCCGGCCTCCTCTTCCCCTCCATCTGGGAGCTGGGCGGCCTCTTTCGGGCAGGGCCTCGCTGGACTTGCCGAGCTCGGATCCCGAAACCCAGGCCCTGCAACGTCTGCCCCAGGTGCCTCTGGCTGGGAGAAATGCACAGAATCACCAGTAACTTCGCGTCACCTCCTTTAGAAAAGAAAAACAACATGCAAGCTGGAAAGAAGAGTGGCATCTGCAAGTGCCAACGTGCCGGCAGCCAGGGCCCGAGAGGGGCAGCTGCAGAGAGGGCTGCCCGGCACCCCAGCGGGAAACTGGCCACATCTGGTAGGCTCCTGGGATGCGGGGTCCGGTGGGGGTGAGCAGCCCGTCACTAGCACCCCTCGCCCGGGTCTGGGAGGGTCAGCAGCCGGTCACTAGTACCCCTCGCCCAGGTCCGGGAGGGTCAGCAGCCGGTCACTAGCACCTGTCACCCAGGTACGGGAGGGTCAGCAGCCGGTCACTAGCACCCCTCGCCCGGGTCTGGGAGGATCAGCAGCCGGTCACTAGCACCCCTCGTCCAGGTCTGGAAGGATCAGCAGCCGGTCGGCAGTCACTAGCACCTGTCACCCAGGTCGGGAGGGTCAGCAGCGGTCACTAGCACCCCTCGCCGGGTCTGGGAGGATCAACAACCGGTCACTGGTAGCCCTGCGCCTGGGTCTGGGAGGGTCAGCAGCTGGTCACTAGCACCCTCGTCCAGGTCTGGAAGGATCAGCGGCCGGTCACTGAAAACAGCCCTCGCCTGGGTCTGGGAGGGTCAGCAGCTGGTCACTAGCACCCGTCACCTGGGTCTGGGAGGGTCAGCAACCAGTCACTAGCACCCCTTGCCCGGGTCTGGGAGGGTCAGCAGCTGGTCACTAGCACCCGTCACCCGGGTCTGGGAGATCAGCAGCTGGTCACTAGCACCCGTCACCCGGGTCTGGGAGGGTCAGCAGCTGGTCACTAGCACCCGTCACCCGGGTCCGGGAGGGTCAGCAGCCGGTCACTAGCACCCCTCGCCCAGGGAAGCTGCAGGCCTTCTCACACCCCTGTGTCCCGGGAATTGGGAGGCATGAAGTCAGCCCTATGGTGAGTCTGCAGGTGACCCTGCGGTGCGCTCGGCCCCCTGGGACTGCGTTTTCCAGAGCTCCCTCATGCCCACACCTGCTATTCACGGCCCTGTGGCTCCCTCAGGCTCCACTGGGGTAGGGGCTGTGTGCCCAGGACTTCTCCTCCTGGGGGAATTCTGTCACTTCCTTTTCTTCAGGACCCGTAGCAAGGGTTAAGCGGGACAGATGGAAACTAAAACCAACGGAGAAGGCAGGGAGAGCTAAGGGGAGGAAAAGTGCAGACCCCAGAGGCGAAGGCCGGGGCTCCCTGAGGGAACTGCTGGCTCTCGGGCACTGTGTGCCCTGTGGTGCCGCCCCTGAGATCACGGTGGGCTGTCCACCCAGCCTAGGTTGCCCCGTCTCTCGGTTGGGGCTGCAAGCTTTGGAATCCAAGAGTACCAGGTGGTCTCTGTCTTAGAGGCAGAATCCAAAAATATGATTCTGTGAACAGCCCCGTTATTCACTGTGTGGAGGAAGCCAGTTTGCCATGAGAGGGGGAAATACCTCACAATGAGAGACAGGGAGAGTGTCTGGAACATTCTGGCCTCCCCGAGTCCCGAGCACCAGCGGCCCCTCCACCACCTCCCAGGGTGACCCTCCCAGGAAGGAGGAGCCCCCACTGTGGTGGCCACGTGCCTCTGCCGTCCTGAGGTGGCCGTTTCTCAGGACAGGGCCTACAGGGCCCAGGGCCACCTCTGGGGGACTCTGCCTGGACCCTCAGCCAGGAAGCCCAGCCCTGGCAGAGGCCACCTTGCAGCAGCAATGCTTCCTCGGGTCCTCCCTTTCAACCGGTCTGGAGTCTGAGTGGGGGGAGGGGGCACTAACTGAGCTCCTCTGCAAACTGCAAAGCCCAGATCCAGCCACAGCTGGATGACTCCGCACGGAGGCCACCTGTGCCCCACCTGGCACTGATGCTTAATCTGCTGCGTCCAGGCTTCTGGCACTTGCCCCCAAAAGACCCAAGGAACTTGCAGCCTAAGCAGGTCCATACAGCTGGAGGGACCCATGCCACATATACAGCAGCAGCCTAGAGCGCCCTCAGCTGCCCTGGTGGACTCCCTGGTGAAGAGAGGGGCCAGGGCTGCCACCCTTGAGAAACTGAGTCCGACCAGGAGGCAAGTCACACACAGACCGAACAAGTAAGCAACCGGGCCGAGGTGAGACAGCGCCGGAGAATGACCAGCGTGCCGTGGGAGTGCCAGCTAGCCACAGCGAGGGCACAGGAGGTGCAGGGGGTACATTGGTGGCCCTCGAGGACGTGCAGGCTGGACGTGTGTGCACGTGTCCTGGGGCACGTGGTCCCCCATCCTGGGGGATTTTGGGAAAAACGGTTACCAAGGCAGTCCTGAAGGAGGTGCGTGAGCCTGCTGTTCCGGTACGGGATGTGGCCGCGGTGCTCTGACAAAGCCCCCAGGACGTCTGCCAGGGCCGCAAGGCTGCGGTTGATGCACGCTGTCTCCCTCAGGGCCGACCCGGTCACCCCGGACACACCTGGGACAGGACAGGGACCGCCACGCACCATCACCATTTGCACCAAGACAGAAGGCAGGAAAAGCAAAACCAGCTCCTTGGGAGGAGCGGCTTTCAGGCAGGTAGAGGGGAGGCCATGGACGGGACAGGCATTAGAGCGAGGGTCTTTCATGGCTCTGCTCACAGCTCAAAGCGAGCTCCTGCTGGGAACTCAGGTTTTCTCTTCCCAGAGGGCCAGCGTGAGGAACACGACTCTCGGGTTGCCGAGGTAAGAGAACCAACCCCTGAGAATGTAATGGGGATTTGGAACTCATCTGTGGAGGGGGAAACGCCTGGCCCGCCCAGAGCTTCCCAGGCTGCCTGGCTGTACACCCAGCTCCATCAGATCATAGGCTTCTGCAGCGTCCACCCCCCAGGGAAATGCCTGCCCCTGCTCACCAATGCACTCGCTGCCCGCCAAATCCACGAGCTGCAGCCGGGCCTGCACCTGCTCCGCACGCCCTGCGGGGTCCCCGGGAACCGGCTGTGGAGCTGAGGCCCCTTGAGAAGTTCTGCGGCTCCTTCCTGCCCTTCCTGCCTCTGTTTGCTCCCTGGGGAGGGTAGCACTGCAGGCTTGGTCTGCTGCAAGGGGAGCAACGAGGAGGAAAACAGCTGCATGAAGCCATGAGGCTGTGCTTTGCCTCGGTCAAGGCTGAGAAGCTTCTGAACTGCACCCTCCCGCCCACACCTCCCACCCAGTAAGAAGTGGGATTTCAGCAGAGGTCCAGGGGACAGTGGCTTCTCGGGGGGAAAACACAGCAAGTTAGAAAGCAGCTTTCTTCACTGTGGAAGGTTGAACTAATGCCTCATTGGCCCAAAGGAAATCAAATAATGCTTCTTAGAAAGACTTGATAATGATGTTAATTAAAATCCCACTCAGAAAACCTATGAGCCCTTTTAGAAATAAATTCTACAATCTGCTTGATAATCTTCCACACAAATCCTAACAAAAGGGCTCTTCATTTTAATGCAAATGTCTTTGTAGTGTGTTATTCCTACACAAACTTCTTAGGGTTTTTTAAAAAGCAAGATAACATTTACTCACTATGTAAAACATAGAAAGTACATACAATTTTTTTTTAAGGACATGAAATCCAGTCTTATTCCCACCACCAAGGGCAGCCACGCCTCCCCTGTATCGGGAGTGTTTTTGGTAGAGATTGTTGGTGCTCCCTAAACATCAGGCGCCTGTGCCTTGCCAGCCCCCTGTGGGTACAAGGCCCTGTGCCCAGCTGTGGCCTGCTCTGGGCTGCCAGGGGCTACTGTCAGCACGTCCCCGCCACCTCTCCTTCCGTTGCCCGAGCAACCTTGGAGGTCACATGTTTCAAGTGCCACGGTGGCAAGACGGATGGGGAACGAACGTTCAGCCACACTGCCACTCGATACAAGTGAGAAATGGCCTTTCCCATGTCAACCCACTGAGACCAGGTTTCAACGGGACTACAGTCTCATGTTCCGGCCCCAGACCCATGGTTCTCCAGGTGTGGTCCCCGGAGTCATGCTCTTGCAGGAACACACATTTGGGGTCTGGTCCCAGCCCTGCTGAACCTGAGCATGGGTGGTGTCTGCTGTTTGTTCCCACCACCTGCTGCAGGGGATTGGACGCAGCTCAAGTTGGAGAGCTGCAGCCCAGGCTTCACAGGCCTTTGTGTTCTTTCTGATACATTACGTAACTGGAATCATTTCATCTACTGCACAGTTTGTAACTTGGGTTTTAAACTGAAACTACACTCATTGTTTCTTCCATGACAAACGCATGTACCCCAAGGTGTATTATGCCCTGCTTTTCTCTCTGCGTTATATTTTATTTAGCAGAGTGTTTTCCTCCCTCCCGTTCTCACTTTTTCTTCTCAGCCCGTGGTCCCAGTGGCCTTTTCGGTTTGGGATGCAGATAGTGAAAAAGTGTGGCTGGTATTCCCATGCTGGGTCCCGTGAAAGGCCTTGGATGCTGCAGGCACGCTGATTTTTCTTCTTCTTCTTTTTTTGACAGAGTTTTTGCTCTGTTGCCCAGGCTGGAGTACAATGGCACAATCTCGGCTCACCGCAACCTCTGCCTCCTGGGTTCAAGCAATTCTCCTGCCTCAGCCTCCTGAGTCACTGGGATTACAGGTGTGTACCACCATGCTCAGCTAATTGTAGAGACACGGTTTCACCATGTTGGCCAGGCTGGTCTCAAACTCTTGACCTCAGGTGATCCACCCACCTCAGTCTCCCAAAGTGCTGGAATTACAGGCGTGAGCCACTGCGCCTGGACTGATTTTTTTTTTTTCTCCTTAAGTGGGTTTTTCTATTACTTGCCACTGACCAAGCACAAATAGTGACTTACCAATACTATCAGAGCAGGCGGCTGTTGTTAGAGTCACCGTAATTATCAGGTGAGACCTGGAGGAATCCGCGTGCACCACGGTGGGGTGCTTTGCTCTGAGCTGCAGACCTCCACGAACGAGCTCCATCAGTTTTGAGGCGCTGCCGACAGCCCTACAGACAAGGCAAGCAGTGGGGAACACAGCACGGGCAGCCCCCCTTACCCAAGGCGACTTCCAAGCCGCCTCAGTTCCTCTCACATGAGCCACACATGCCAATGGGGGACTAAAGCCAGTCCTGGGCACAACAAAACATGGTAAAGCAAACTTTCCTTTTGAGGCCTAACCAACCTATAGCATCTCTAATCTCTAACCCTGAAATAATGGACTGCTTCCGAACAAAATCAGAGGTTGCTAACCTTTTCAACATCAACTATTCCTTTATTTATTAGAGCCTCCAGGGACCATGTTTTAAAAGTATTTTGTGTATCAAATCTGATTTATGAAATAAAGGTTTAACCCATTTCCCCATGTTAGTGGATGAGATAGACTGCCAATCAGAGCTCTTAATCAGCAGCAGATAACATTCCCATCACAGCTGTCAGTCAAAGGCTCAAATTTCAGGTGACTTTGTGTGACCGTATCAGGGTTGCACGGATGATTTCCTTCAGCTCTGTGAAATATTCGGCATGGCTGGCGGACCCTTCCCTTGCTGCCTCCGGGGCCCAGGATGGGCAGCCTCTCCGGGCCCTCACTCGTGGGGAGGGTTCCCTCTGTCACCTCCCAGCTGCACCCCCACTGGGGCAAACCCAGCACATGCATGTGGATTTGAAAATAGGGAACTTTGAGGAAAATACTTAATATGGGGGATCCTCACTTCTACAAGAGGATTCATTATCGTAGTCTATGAAATACTGATAATTACAAATGTGGATAAGTTCATCTCTCCTAGCCTGAGTGGGGTGGGCAAGTTCTTTCACCTCTGCAGGCCTGCTTCCTCATCTGTGAGATGGGATGACGCCCATCCAAGGTGCTCTTACGAAGATTTTTTCAAAGCTACGTTTATTTGTTTATTTAATTTTGATTGTAAAAATATTTTTTTTACTTTTATCTCTAACAGCTTTAAGATATTAATAACGTATGAAAATGGTATATGTTTAAAGTATACACCTTGATATTTTGATATGTGACTACATTGTGAAATGATCACCCATTCCAGCTAATTAACAAATATATCATCCCGACATAGCCACCTTTAAAGAAAGATCATTCTTACAGCAAATTGACAGTTGTGCAACACATACGAAGCATGAAAACACACAAGGAACCATTCAGTGACAAGGAGCACTGATTGGGCCACCACGGCCGATTCTCCTTGGGATCCTTAGGCGTGGGGAGCTCGTTTAGAGACGTCCAGCCTCCTGACCACGGGGCAGGTGCCATTCTCACTCAGAGGCCAGCAGCACAGGGCAGGTGCAGTACTCACTCAGAGGCCAGCAGCGCAACCTCTGTTCGTCCGTCCTTGGCTGTCATCACCTCACGCTTGACCCCTGACACTGCTGCAACAGTGTCTTTGGCCAGAAGGTCAAAAATGTCATTATTGTAAACTTCCACTATGGAGACTTCAACCTTTGGGCTTCTTGAGGGATTTTCCGAAATGAGCCTGCGGGAAAACATGCAAGAGAAACTTACAGAAAGTCTCACAGAGTGATTTTCAGTGTAAGCCAATCACAGCTCCAGACGCCTGGGAGGATGCCCAGTAAGACTGCTGGGGTCTGAGCAGAGGGTGCACGTTACTCACCCCAAGATCACTCGGGGAAAGGGGGTGTGCCATTTAGGTTGTAGGGTGAATACGTGTCTTGGGAGCAGTTACTTTATCAGAGTTATATTTAAACCAACAGCTTTGCAACCAGAACACTGAGGATTCTAAATACACAGGGCAAAGAAGCCTGAATATCACATGGCTGTGGTCTAGAAATTACCACACCCCATTGATCGATCACTGCAGACACCCAAGGCAAGGTGCAAGGATGTTCGGGCCTCTAGCACTTCTCCAGTGATGGGGTTTGCTTATTTTAAAACTTTTCCACTTCAGGGAAGCTTGAGTCCAGAGTTCTTTATTCCAATTCCACTTATGCCTTCCAACTGCAACTTTCCTGCAAACAAGACCCATCAAACCAACTCCGGCTCTTTAAAAAACAGCTGCACAGCTGGGCGCGGTGGCTCATGCCTGTAATCCCAGCACTTCAGGAGGCCGAGGCAGGTGGATCACGAGTCAAGAGATCGAGACCATCATGGCCAACCTGGTGAAACCCCATCTCTGCTAAAAATACAAAACTTTGCTGGGCGTGGTGGTGTGTGCCTGTAGTCCCAACTACTTGGGAGGCTGAGGCAGGAGAATCGCTTGAACCTGGGAGGTGCAGGTTGCAGTGAGCTGAGGTCGCACCACTGCACTCCAGCCTGGCGACAGAGCGAGACTCCATCTCAAAAAAGAAAAGCAGCTGTACATCTTAGTTTGCTCCATGTTTTAAAGAACTATGTGCTGACTGTAGGAATGTTTTTGAATAAAGATACTACAGAGAGAGAGAGAGAGAAAGAAAACTGTAATGCCACAACAAGGAAAAGGTGAGTGCTAACCCTGGATTCCCTCCCTTCCTCTCTCCTCCCTCTGGCTTTCTGGTTTGTCTCTGACAAAACTCCCCTTCCAACCTTGTCACCAAATAACAAAGGCCTCTTTCTGTCTGCTGGAGGTGGCTGCCTCTCTACCACGTGCAAGGTGATGTCAATCCCACGGTGAACACTGTGCTTTTCTTGTTCCTAAGGCTATTCTGAGAACCGGGCGGGAAGTCCCGAGTGACAGGGTGCTATCTGTACTCGAGGGAAAATCCAGGCGGGATGTTTCCCACCCAGGCGCTGCCAGGCTGAGGTTTTCTTCTAGATCTAGAGGAGTTTTGTCTTCTAATGATAAACAGTAAAGAAAATGATGAAGACTAAAATGAAAGAGAAAGTAAGTGAAACTCTTAAGGTAAAAATCATTATTGGCAAAGCATCAAGATTTGGATTTGGTAGGTTCAGCACTGGGGTTAGGTGAGAACACTCTAAGAAGAGTGAGTGCAATAGTGAAAAATGAGGTTAGCTACAGATTTTATTTTACTTTATATTCATTTATTTTTTTGAGACACAGTCTCGCTCTGTCACCCAGGCTGAAATGCAGCGGCACATTCTTGGCTCACTGCAACCTCTGCCACCCAGGTTCAGTTGATTCTCCTGCCTCAACTTCCTGAGTAGCTGAGATTACAGGTGCCCGCCACCACGCCTGGCTAGTTTTTGTATTTTTAGTAGAGACAGGGTTTCGCCGTGTTGGCCAGGCTGGTCTCGAACTTCTGGCCTCAGGTGATCCACCCGCCTAAGCCTCCCAACGTTATGGGATTACAGGTGTGAGCCACTGTGCCCAGCCTAGAGTTTTTACATTCTCCTCCTCTCCACACGTTAGGCAAAAATGCACCACATAGCCAGAAACTTAACCTCCACACTTGGGCCCATCCTTTATGTGACAGTTTGTTCTTTGAGCGTCGCAAAACCTAAGTTAGAAATTTCTCAATTACATAATACCGAGGAGTTAATTTGAGAGATTTCCCACAAGTAATTTTTGGGCTGTTGACTAGATTCTAGGGACAACAGTGAAAACCACAAGCTTCAGTCTTAGCGTTTAAGCAGCAAAGTGTTGAGAAGGAGACACACAGGTAAAGGACTCCAGGTCCTGTGATGAACGGGTGTGATTCAAATGCACCTGCAGCTTCCCTGACTCTCTGGGGAGGGGAGGGGCGGAGCCATGCTTTCTCTCTGCCATCTGTTCCTGCCCATTTCCTACTGGGTCATAATTACCCGTTTCCACTCTAGACTTTTTAAAAGCAAAAAATTGATCACATGCACTTTTGGATCCCTTGTGCCTCTGACAGTGCGTAGCAGGTAGAGAAACACCACACACTCCTGTTGATAAGGATGACAGTGGAGACCAGTCGGGAAGGAGGCGGTGTCAACAACCAGGTTTAGAAGGAAGGAGAGGGGTGTGCAGAGCCAAGGAATCCAGGCAGTAGCATTTTATTTACTTTAAAACAACAGGAAATGGCTTCTCTGGTGCCTTCAGCAATCTAAGAGTAGTGGTTTTCAGGGTCAAGGGTTCCTGTAAACTATCTCCGACATCAGCACTGACGTCACTGTGGTTGTGTATCATTTTGGGCAGAGGGCCGTTTGCAACTTGAGTCACGAACACCCAAGCTCACCCCCGGCCCTGGCCCAGCGCACCCCTCTCCAGGTGTGGATGTGATGAGGGAGGACACGGTCCGTGTCTGCTCCGATTCTCGTTTCTGCAAACGAGGAAAGTGAGGTATAGGGAGAGTAGGGCCTTGCCTGGGGCCACTCACTTGGAAGAGCAGAGATTCTGAGACTCAGACTGAGGGATTCCAGTGCCCCAAATCACTGTGCCCTGGAGGGAGACGCACAGCACCCGAGGCTCAGAACAGCAAAACGGAAAAACCATTTTGGAAACGAGGCGACTGAAACGCTTGCCAGTAATGCGATGGGCCCATTGGTAACTCTGATTATCCGGTTTCTGGAGAGGCCCAGCCGACTGGCCATCGTCCTGATGGATCTCCCCTAACATTTTTAGGCAGCTAACAGCCCTTCCCAGCGCTCCCTCAGCGCAGTTCCCGCCCCGGCAGCGCTGCTCCCGCTCCCCCCACTCCGGCAGCGCCGCTCCCGCTCCCCCGCAGCCCTCTGCCATCCTGGATATGCTTCCATAGGTCAAAGTATGAGGCCTGCTCTCACTGGCTGTGCATCCTGTGTCTCTAAGCCCAGCTGAGGGCGGAAATGGCCCTGGAAACAAGCATGCAGCTCAGGCTGGGAACACTAGGAACCCGACCTCTGGGAGGTGCTGCCTGGCCACATCGTCTCCTTCCACCAGGGTGACCCCTCTCTCACAGATGAGAAGAATCTCATCTGTTGGGCAGGGGGGTCTGGAAACTCCCACCATTCTCTCCCACCTTCTACCTCAGTTCCCCAGTGCTCTTGCCTGAGCCTTTGTTTCTGGAACTTAAAGAGTTTGCTGAGCAGAAGGAAAAATGACTGGTCGAATATTTAATGACATGCACCACCCATGTAAGCTCAAACTCCTGACCTCGTGATCCCCCTGCCTCGGCCTCCCACAGTGCTGGTGTGTCCGGAATTGGTGGGTTCTTGGTCTCACTGACTTCAAGAATGAAGCTGCGGACCCTAGCGGTGAGTGTTACAGTTCTTAAAGATGGTGTGTCTGGAGTTTGTTCCTTCTGACGTTCGGACGTGTTTGGAGTTTCTTCCTTCTGGTGGGTGCATGGTCTCACTGGCTTCAGGAGTGAAACTGCAGACCTTCACAGTGAGTGTTACAGCTCATAAAGACAGCGTGGACACAAAGAGTGAGCAGCAGCAAGACATATTGTAAAGAACAAAAGAATAAAGCTTCCACAGTGTGGAAAGGGACCTGAGCGGGTTGCCACTTGGCGATAGGCAATAGTCTCACCGCTTGGCAGTACTCTGTATCTAGCTAACCTAGTGGGGACTTGGAGAACTTTTCTGTCTAGCATTCTGTGTCTAGCTAAAGGATTGTAAATGCACCAATCAGCACTCTGTGTCTAGCTTAGGGCTTGTAAATACACCAATCAGTACTCTGTCTAGCTCAAGGTTTGTAAATACACGAATCAGTACTCTGTATCTAGCTAACCTAGTGGGAACTTTGAGAACTTTTTTGTCTAGCACTCTGTGTCTAGCTACAGGATTTTAAATGCACCAATCAGCACTCTGTGTCTAGCTACAGGATTGTAAACGCACCAATCAGCACTCTGTCAAAATGGACCAATCAGCTCTCTGTAAAATGGACCAATCAGTTCTCTGTAAAATAGAATCAGTTCTCTGTAAAATGGATCAATCAGCAGGATGTGGGTGGGGTCAGATAAGGGAATAAAAGCAGGCTGCTGGAGCCAGCAGTGGCAACCCGCTCGGGTCCCCTTCCACACTGTGCAAGCTTTGTTCTTTCGCTCTTTATAATAAATCTTGCTGCTGCTCACTGTTTGTGTCCACGCTGCCTTTATGAGCTGTAACACTCACTGTGAAGGTCTGTAGTTTCACTCCTGAAGCCAGCGAGACCATGAACCCACTGGTAAGAACAAACAACTCCAGACACACTGCCTTTAAGAGCTGTAACACTCACCGGGAAGGTCTGCAGCTTCACTCCTGAAGTCGGCGAGACCACAAACCCACCAGAAGGAAGAAACTGCAGACACATCTGAAGGAACAAACTCCAGACACACCATCTTTAAGAACTGTAACACCATGAGTGTCCACGCTTCGTTCTTGAAGTCTGCGAGACCAAGAACCCACCAACGCTGGACACGCTGGGATTACAGATGTGAGCCACCGCACCCAGCTGCTGAAACGACTTTTTACTATTTTTTTTTTCTAGGACTAATTTTGTTGGTGAAATCATAACACAGGCAGTGGGTCTCTTTCGAAAATGTGCTAACAGTCGGGAGCATCTTCACAGGCCATGTTGGCTGGACCCCTAAAGAGAAGTAGATGCATACACTCCTGATGGCGGCAGGAGGAAGGGCGATGGAAGAATGGGAGTTTTCCCTCTGTGTTTCCCATTCCAGGACAGAAAACCTCCATCTCCCATCATCCCCCACCTCCACCCCTACCTAGGGAACCCTCTAACTCTGGATCTCTTTCAAGAAGTTTTGTCTTAGCCAGGCACGGTGCCTCATGCCTGTAATCCCAGCCCTTTCGGAGGCCAAGGCGAGTGGATCACCTAAGGTCAGGAGTTTGAGACCAGCATGGACAACATGGCGAAACCCCATCTCTACTAAAAAAACAAAAATTAGCTGGGCGTGGTGGGGCACACCTGTGATCCCAGCTACTAGGGAGGCTGAGGAGGGAGAATTGCTTGAACCCAGGAGGCACAGGTTGTAGTGAGCCGAGATCGCACCATTGCACTCCAGCCTGGGTGACAAAGCAAGACCTTGTTGCTAAAAAAATTAAAGACTCAAAAAAGTTTTGTCTTAATGATAGAATCTGAACAAAATTTCATCACAGGAATTGGTAGCAATAAGGCCCAGAAGTATGGAAGCGCTTGGTAGTGTTGAATGTATCTGATGAGGTTATGGGGTTTGACCACCTTCTTCAAAAAAAAGTGGTAATCATTTTTGCCGTGTGATAACCAAGGTGCTGACTGCCTGGCTTCCCTGCCATATTTCTCTGCCCCACTCATCACCATCAGCGGTACCTGAAGAGCTCCTCAGCTGCTCTAGGGATAATTCCTAAGTCACTCTGTGGGTCAAGCGGCAACACAGGGCCGTCGTCCGAATGGGGTCCCAACATGGTATAGCTCTTCCCGCTGCCCGTCTGTCCATACGCCATAACACAAACATTGTACCTAAAATTCAGAGCAGATTCAGTCCAACAAAACACACGGAGGGCTGGTGCCAAGAAGATTCCAGGAAAAATTTTCACTTGTCTGAGAAACTTCAATAAATTTCATTCCCTATTCCTCTGTTACTCCATTTCTTATAAATTACGTTTTCATTTAACCACAACTATTTTTTTTTTTGCATAATCCATCCTGGTTGCTATCTTGTTGTATAATATTGGATTAAACGGTATTTGCACTGACACACACACACAGCATGGGTTCATCCTTCCCTGTTTCTCCTGGGCATTTCCATCTCCCCATTCTCCAGCTCAGCATCCACACAGGGATTCTGGCCTTAGCAAGGCCTTCCTAAATCCGCATACCTTCACTGTAACTATCTTTTTTTTTTTTTTCTTGAGACGGATTCTTGCTCTGTCACCCAGGCTAGAGTGCAATGGCTCAATTTTGGCTCACTGCAACCTCTGCCTCACGGGTTCAAGCGATTCTCCTGCCTTAGCCTCCCGAGTAGCTGAGATCAGCCCAGCTAATTTTTGTATTTTTAGTAGAGACAAGAGTTTTGCCATGTTGGCCAGGCTGGTCTCAAACTCCTGGACTCAAGGGATCCTCCTGCTTTAGCCTCCTAAAGTGCTGGGATTACAAGCATGAGCCATTTTGGTATATGTTTTCATACAAAAACTATTTTTGTACTTTGTAACTGGAAGGGACTTTGAGGTGTTCATGTCCACAGTCAATCCACATGTGCTGAGGTCCTCTCTGTGACAGTAGCACCTGCTGCCTCTTGGCCCCAAGATCCTCGATTAGCTGACTGCAGCTTATTTCAGAGAAGATAAGAACTGCCAACAGATCCCCACATTTCCTTCCAGTTGTGCTGTTTAGCCCAAAGCATGAATGGGAGGATCGGAAATATTTGGAAGACTATTTAAAATAAGTATGATAGAAAATCATCTTCTCCGTCATGATGTTGAAGATGTTCGTGGCTGTAAAGGTGTGGGTTCACCTGGCCTGATGCTAAGTGGGTTCATGCCTCAGAGCAGGATCTCCAGCCTGACCCCTCGTCCAAGTCACCTGGGGACATTCAGCAAGTCCTGCACTCAGAAATTCTGACTTAACTGGTCAACTGTGACTCCGATTTATCAACACCGGTTTAACGTGGTGCATCCACCACAAGTCAAACAAATAACGGTTGTTGTTTTGACAAAATGATTGCGAGACAGCGTTCTCATTGACTGACATCTAAATCGCCCCGAGAACAGGACAGGAAAAGCAGCAGAGCCCAGTCCTGGGGCTGACCGTTCGAGTCACTAGGGTTGACTGTTACATTCCAGCCACAAGAGCCTGGAAACCACATGCTCCCGCCAAACTGATCAGGCCGTTGCCATCCTGCGAGTTTTCCTTCCAGGATTAAAAAGTCTCAAGGCATGCATAACAAAACCCCACTACAGGCTACGTCTCTTCCGGCTTCCCTGAATTCATTTACATGCATTTCTTTGTGTGGAGAATATCTTTGACCACAACGGATAAATGGGTTCTTACAGGGGTCTTTCAACCATTTAAGAATGTAGAGTAAAAGGAAACTTCCTGAAGAAGGAGGCTGTAAACCAGAAATACAATTCTAAGGGCCCCCAGCCATCTGAATGGACTTCCTCCTCGGCCAGGGCACTCTAAAATTTTACCTCAGAGGCTGGTTCAGGCCATGACAGGAAGTGGGGGCTGGACAGGCCTCATGACACCCTCCAGCGTTAACATCGACACAGACCTTACATCTGATAAGAAACATCTATGATCTGTTCTCTCTGAAGCTGCCACATGAAGGCTTCCTCTGCAAATAAGAACTTTAGTGTCCATAATCCTTTACCTTAACCCAGACATTCTGGAGCCAATGTATTTCTTAAATGAACTGGATTGAAGTCTCATGTCTCCCTGAAATGTATAAAACCAAACTGTGCCCAACCACCTTCGGCACATGTTCTCAGGACCTCCTGGGCTGTGTCCTGGGCACGGTCACTCATATTTGGCTCAGGATAAATCTCTCCCAATATTTTACAGAGTTTGACTCTTTTTGCTGACAAGACTCAGAACTTAAACTAACTCCATCTGTTTCGCGTTATCCTGGAAAGGCAGTTCTGGCAGTGATCACTGTGACCACGATGTCTTTCTTATTTCTGGAATCTGCTTACTTAAAAGATGCCTGTTTGAAAGGAGACTCCCCTATCATTTTCAAAACCATTTCTTCAGATGGGTATAAAAATTCCAACCTTCTGGAGGAAGAGTTGAAGCAGCAACTGCATCATGATTGGCAGAGCCGCCCCGCGTGCGTGCGCGCGCGGTCAGACGCAGGAGCTTCCTGAGTTGACCTGCTGGTCGGATCATGCGCCTTTGGGGCGCGCAGCACACTGTGTAATTGCAGTTTCTAGGTCCTTGAGGTTCCTTGTGGTTGGCTGTGCAGAAGCCTTTGCTGGACAAATGCAAGTAAGTCTTCGTCAGGAACTTGATGTGGATTTCTGCCAGAAAACTGAGATTCTTCAAAATGCCCCAGAGTGGAAAGTATGGGCTTAAGGTGTCTCCATTAAGTAAAAAAATATTCTTCATTCCTAATTTATGACCCACTGCCTTTGACATCAGTAGTTGTATATTGCAAGAATAGAAGGCTGATTCCCAAAGGGAAAAGTCCCTAAATCTGATGTTAACATTCCTTACAGATTTTTTTTTTTAAATTCTGAAATATAAAAGAATCCCAGAGAGAATGGCAGCTGCATTCACAGGCTTAAGCCCACATACAATGTAACTAAAATGGAGTTTGGAATCCCAGGTGGATATACTCATTTAACAAGCGTTCTCCAAATCATTCTCACTGCTTTTCCCAGGGTGTGGAGATAGTCTCCATGGATGCAAGCGGAGTCCATGCTAGGTGACCCATGGACATGCTCTGCAGTGCTGTAAAATGCTCAGACTCTAATGCGACATTCTCTCTCCACAGCACAATGAAGCTTCTTTACATTCGAATGTAACTATGATAACTGGCCTTCAAAGTATTTTCACTCACCCATCCAAGAGAGACGTGAGTAGGGGGCACACATCTCCAAAGACCGCACTCTGAGACTCTGCTGGACCATAAACCCTGAGAGACAAAGGGAAAATACTGCATTAACAGAAGCAGAAAGCTACTATAGCGTATGCAGACTCAGAAACCTGGGAACACAATGCCCCCGTGGACTTCCCATCCCCCCAGCACCATCGGAATTCTTCAACAAAAGATTAATCTGTGTTATTTTTCAAGATAACAGAGGTTAAGAAAAAGATACTACTTTCTGCTATGAAAATGTAATAAGCATAAATGAAGTGACAAATGCTTGCAAGATAGGAGGGAAGGAACGGGAGGGGAGGGGGGAGGAGAAAGGAGAGGGGAGGGGGGAAGGGAGGAGAGAGGACGGGGGACAGGAGGGAGGAGGGGGAGGGGAGAAGAGGGGAGAGGGGGGGGGAAGGAGGGAGAGAGAGAGAGGGACAGAGGGAGGATATAATTATCCCATAACTAAATCGGCTCTACTGTGGAGGGCCCAACAGTAACAATGTCAAACTCACACTCTGGGCGATATTTGATATATAACATTTGCTTTTTGTGTTCGAGCTTTTAAAAATCTTGTTTTCCTAGGCCCCAGGTCAGTTCAGCAGAACTTGAATCGATATCATGGGATTGGATGTCTGCTCTGCAAAGGAAACTTCATGTGGTTCTGGGTCTATAAACAGGTACAAACAAAACAAAATAGGAAGCAACGTCCAAAAAATGCCGTTTCCTGCACAATTTGAAAGCAGCCTGGAGCACACTGAGAGAGCAGGCTCCCTGGCAGCTGCCCAGCAGTGGCGGTTGGTTGCGCTTGGTCAGGTCTGCTTTGATGTGAAACTCAGTTTCCTGAACTACAGGTTTTGACTTAGCTGGAACCACGTTTTTTCCTTTCTTCATTTTCAAGGGTGTCCTGTCGCTCAGTTGATCGATGTCATCTCCAGCCACGGGATTAATTTTACACAGAGTGGGGACCCTTATGAGGTGTTGCCATATGCATGATGTAGAGGGTACGGTGAGCACTGTGTGGGAAGATGCTCAGGGCTGAGATCCTTTTTAACTTTTCACTCAGAAAATACACCAAGATACAAAAGTAGAAAGAATAGAAAAGTCAGCCCCATGTGCACATTGCCCGGCTCCAGACCCAGGCCTGGCCTGCTTCTCACGCTGAAGCTGACCTGAGGTCCGTTTCATCTGGGAAGGCCAGGACAGCTCCAGACCCAGGCCTGGCCTGCTTCTCATGCGGAAGCTGACCTGAGGTTCATTTCATCTGGGAAGGCCAGTACATCTGTAAAGGATGATGACTTTAAAACATAACAGTATTCCCACGACCATGCCTTAAAAATGAATGTTAGTTATTCTTTAGCACCATCCCAAAGTCAGTGTTTGCATTTCCTCAGTTGTCTAGTAAGTTTCTTTTTCCAGTCAGTGTTTTAGAAATAATAATTCATCATGGCATCTACACTGCACAGGGTTGCTGCCTTCTAAGTCTCCTAATCTATGGCAAGGGTTGGCAAACTTTTTCTCAAAAAAACCTAGATAGTAAATATTTTAGGCTTTGTGAACATCTTACCTTTAAAGAACACTGGAGTTTTTCCCAGTAATGGAAGGGAAAAGTCCAAGATGCCGACTACCTGCAATACTCTTTATCTGCAATACTCTTTTCCTGCAGTACTCTTTACCTGCAATACTCTTTTCCTGCAATTCTATTTACCTGCAATACTATTTACCTGCAGTACTCTTTACCTGCAATACTCCTTTCCTGCAATGCTATTTACCTGCAATACTATTTACCTGCAATACTCTTTTCTTGCAATACTATTTATCTGCAGTACCCTTTTCCTGCAATACTATTTACCTGCAGTACTCTTTACCTGCAATACTCTTTCCTTGCAATACTATTTACCTGCAGTACTCTTTACCTGCAATACTATTTAATATTGCATTGAGCTATGATTGGCTTATGCAGTTGGACAAAAGAAATCAATTAGTGACATAAGAATCAGAAAAGATAAAACAATTTCCCCTTGGAGCTAACACGGCCATACATCTGAGAAATCCAAATTCAAATGACAAAGAAAATTACTAAATCAATACAATAATTTAACAAAACAGCAGGTCATAAAATTAATGTGAAAACATCAATAGCCTCTCTATATACAAATCGAGTTAGAAGCCATGCTGGGAGATGAGACTCTAGTAGTGATAGCAACAAAAATATGCCTAGGAATAAACTTAATAAGAAATGTTCTAATCCTTCATAAAGAAAATGATAAAAGGCTCCTGAAAATACATGATTAAACTCAAATAAGTGAAAAGTCACAGCATGTTCCTGAATAGAAGAGTCAACTCATGAAGATGCCTGTTTTTCCAAAGTTAGTTTATAAACTTACCTCAATTCCCCCAAAATACTGTATATGCTGTCAGGTTTTTCCTGGAGCTCCACAGTTATTATAATTTTTTTTTTTTTTCCCCAGCAAAATAGAAGAGTGAGAATAGAAAGAAGCCCTGGAAAATAGAGCAAGTGGGATGGGGTGAGCCCAGACACTGGAACCTTCTCTGAGACTCTATCTACAACAGCTTGGTCTTGCTGCGTGAATTAGTAAGTAGGCCGAAGGAAGAGGGGGAAATGCCAGACAGACACAACTGCATGTGGCAATGGGTCAGATAAAGGGACATCTCAGATCGGTGGGGAGAGAGGTGTTTTAGTAAGTGGTGATACAGGCTGGGCACGATGGCTCACGTCTGCAATCCTAGCACTTTGGGAGGCCAAGGTGGACAGATTGTTTGAGCCCAGGAGTTTGAGACCAGCCTGGGCAATGGGCAAAACTCCATCTCAATATCCTTTTTTTTAATAAATAAATTTTAAAATATTATTTTAAATTAATATTTTAAAATATAAGTGGTGTTGCAGTAAATGAAGAGATTTAAAAAGATAAAACTGGATCAATTCTTTATAAAATGGACTAGGACACATTCCTAACAGACCACAAGTTTAATGAAAACCATCCGGCCATGCATGTCCCAGCAGAGTCCACGGGTGGGTTCTTCTAGAACCTGGCAGCCTTTTTACCTATGAGCATGTAAAAACGTACGTGTGGCTCAAAGACATCAGAAGCAGACAACAGACTGGGAAAGTAGTTGCAGCTTAAATATCTCTGCTATATCAAGTGCTCCTAGAAATACAGAAAGGAAAGGTCAGTCTTTGTAGAGAAAATAGCTAGAGAAGTGAAGAATGCACAGAAAAAAAAAAAAAAAAAGATGCAAATGACGGAACCACATGAAAAGACTCAACTTCGCTCTGAAGAGATGCTACACAGAGAACCCGTTTCTCACCCACAGACCAGAACAACCCATGCATCTGACCTTGTGCTCCGTGGGGATGTGGAGGGAAGCTGGCCTTGCCCATGTGGCTGTCTGCGGAGGAGGGGCGGTCCTGGTGCTAGTGGGAAGCTGGCCCTAGGACCTGGCACTCCCAGCACCCACCTCCCACAGTCATGCCCAGCCACAGCCAAGGCTCCTGTGTTCGGAGCCTGTCAGTCTCATTCTTTTTCTCCATAAATTTGACCATTTTTCCCCCAACCTGGAACCTCCTTTCCCTTTTTCTTTCTCTCTCTCTCTCTCTCTTTTTTTTTTTTTTTTGAGACAGAGTCTTGCTCTGTCGCCCAGGCTGGAGTGCAATGGCCCGATCTCAGCTCACTGCAACCTCTGCCTCCTTGGTTCCATCGATTCTGTCTGCCTCAGTCTCTCAAGTAGCTGGGACTCCAGGTGTGTGCCACCATGTCCAGCTAAATTTTGTATTTTAGTGGAGACTGGATTTCACCATGTTGCCCAGGGTGGTCTCAAATGACCTCAGGCAATCTGCCCGCCTCTGCCTCCCAAAGTGCTAGGATTACAGATGTAAGCCACCACCCCCAGCCTCCTTTCCCTTTTTCTCTGCCTGGTCAACTCCTGGTTAGCTGAGCTGTTGAGCCCCGGGTTGAGGGCCTCCCCGATCTCTGCCTCCCACCCCGCTGCTGTGTTGGTGGCTTCTGTGCTCAGCGCAGCCTCCCGGGCACCGTCCTTACAGCTCTAGGTCTTGGTGGCAAAAATGCTGCCTTCCTCTCACCTACATCCCTTGTGTTTAACAGGGTGCCTGGCACATAATAGGTGCTCAGAAAATGCTTGCACTTGAATGACTATAGAAATTTAACACAAATGTGTCGGTTAGGAATATCGTATTGTAAATTCCTGTTCTACAAGAACACAGCCAGGAGTGTCCTTCAGCCTCCTGATCAATGAGTTATTCTCAAAACAATGAACATGACTTATTTCTTTTCTCCTTGCATTTTGAATCAATGGCATTAGTTTTGTTTGTCTTTTTTTTTAAATAATATTTTTTATTTCACGTAGAAAATATACCTTCTTCTGACCCTGGGCCTATTAATATTTTTTCTGAATAATAAGAATTGAACTTTTCCCCTCATACAAATTTATTTTTACAATAAGTTAAGGGCTGAAGGTGTTGGAATTTTTTTTTTTTCGAATGGAAATAAAATATTTTGACGTTTATTACTTCCATAAAAAGCTGTTATAAAAACCAATAATGTTCTGATTTCATAAGAACCATATGCTCCACTGTTTCTAGAAACAAGATGATCCCGAATGCTAAATGGTATTACCCCAGAATAAATTCTTGCAGAGATTTACATTTAAACTCTCCCTTACCTCTATAGATAGACAACAAGTTGCACAAATTCTTCTATTTTCTGTTCACTTCCAGCAGCACAATTTTGACCTTTCCCTTCGACCCTCAGTGTACTCGTACTGAGACGGAGCCCTCTGAGAAGACGTACGTCGGCATGACCGGTGCTGCTCCACTTCCTTCTTCCCCGAACAAGGTCACGTGAGCCCGAGGGTGGTTTCCTCACCACAGCGCCCTTGCCTGTGCTTCTCCACGGACCTAAGCAGCAGCCTGGTGTCATCCAAAGACTGGACCTTCTGCTCAAATCCACCGCTTACTAAAAGCCATCCTTTCACTAGACTGGGCAGTGGTGCCCCCCGCAGCTTCCTCCTCAGGTCCTCCTGGGATGATCAAAGGCCTGGAAGGAGTTGGAGACTCTCAAGGGCTACGTGAAGGTGACGTATGTAACTAAACTCCACCCAGCTCAAGCTTTAGCCACTCTGTGACTCTCCTGCCCACAGGAATTTCTCTGTCACTCAGCACTCGGCCACACACACTGTGGGACTCTGGCTGCTTTGCAGTGATGGCCGACACCCACACCCTGTGTGTAAGCCGCGTGGGGAAACGATCATACTTTAAACTTTTTATTCCTAATCCGACCCTACTCTATTCCTTCTCTGCAGCTCTGCGCTAAGCACCCGAAGGTGCTCATTAAATCTTTCAGCACTTTAACCAAAGGGTGCATTTGGCTCTAAACATTCAACCCAATCCTTTATCAGTAGGCCACATGCTTCCTTAAACTGGTGCTGTTTACTTCCCAAGTCAAGTCTAGCAAAGGACAAGGATTGGAGGTGGGGTTTGGAGGAAGGAAAAAGCTTTTACCACAATGTATCTACCACCGACACCAGCTGACATGGTCCAGCCATCATCCAGCAAGCCCACGATTTAAACACAATCTAAATGAAATGCTCATTTCTTGGGATTCAAGGTAAGACCTTGTCCCCAGCCCCACGGAGCTCCTGTTCCAGTTGGGAAGACGACAGTAGAAGCAGATACTACAATGTGCCAAACACTATTCCAACACATGAAGCAGGGGCAGGAAATGAGAAGTCGGAGCAGCTGCCTCCCACCGAGGGACACGGAAACTGAGAATTCCTCACGAAGGAGACATTCCCAAGACAAACCCCCAGGTCCTTCATCAGTGAGTGTCCCCACGTCTCAGATGAGTTTCCGGCCTTTGTTGGGATGCCTGTCCCACCTAAACCTCCAGAGCCGAGTCCAGGCTCAAGGCCTCTTCCCCAGAGGTGCTTCCCTCATTAACTGTTCCATTCCAAACATTCCTTTCTTTCTTTCATTTTTTTTTTTTGGAGACAGAATCTCACACTGTCATCCAAGCTGGAGTGCAGCAGCACATTCTCTGCTCACTGCAACCTCCGCCTCCTGGGTTCATGCGATTCTCCTGCCTCAGTCTCCCAAGTAGCTGAGACTACAGGCGTGCGCCACCATGCCCAGCTAATTTTTGTACTTTTGTAGAGAGGAGGTTTCACCGTGTTGGCTAGACTGGTCTCGAACTCCTGACCTCAGGCGATCCACCCGCCTAGGCTTCCCAAAGTGCTGGGATTATAGGCATGAGCCACCACACTCAGCCTGGCTGGTCTTGAACTCTTGACCTCAGATGATCCACCCACTTTGGCCTCCCAAGGTGCTGAGATTACAGGTGTGAGCCACTGCACCCAGCCCCGAACATTCCTTTCTTCTCCATTCTTGGCCAATTATGTCACCTATTTTGATTGCTTCACCTTATTCTGCCAATGTTGATATTACCTATCATTGTAAAGATCTCCCAAGCCCCCCATCCCAAGCCTAGGTCTCAACTATGGTATAAACTCCTGGAAAGAGTCGGGCCAACCCCATTTCCCTCCTTACCTAGCCCAACACCAGATTACTCTGAAGCACAGTTAAAAAAAAAAAAAAAAAAAAGAAAAGAGAGGTTTTTACTTAGATTATTCCCCTGCATAACTGAGTTATCAAGAGAGGACAAAATCAATAGTGGAAGAAAGGTCAGCCCAGTGAAGGACTGCTGAAAAAACTGTGTGTCACAAGGAAGCGAAGTTCCACAAATGTTTGCATAAACAAACATGATGAAGCTAAGCCATGGGGTCATTACTGCAAAGTGCTCATAAATTTGCTTCTTTTCTACACTGATAAAAAGTATCATTTTTCTCTATACTGTTTTTAAGTGCAGAAACATAAGAAAAAGCTCTTGCACGTGAAGACTGGCTTTGCTCTTACAAATCCCTTGAACCAAATCCCTTGAACACACCAGTGTGTGAAAGTTTCCTCAGGAAGCTACTTTATTACGTGTGAAACTGATGAAAATTTTCTTGAATATTCGTAGTGAGATTTTAAAATATGATTATTTTAGGGGAAAAATCAAGTTATTTGGTTTTAGAGATACAAAGTAAAATGTTTTTCAGTAAATAAATAATACAAATGCATGAGACTATACAGATTCTAATATTATTGCAATCCTTGAGTAATAACATGCATTCTACAAAATGCACTATCTCTGAAGCTCTAGATCTCAACACATGGCGGCTAAGATACTACAACTCCCTTTCTCTTCCCTAACCAACACATAAGTAATGCAACATAAAATAGAAACAAAATATGCTTTTAAATATGCTGCTGACATTGAAGGGAAAAAAGAAAGGAAACTGGCTGGGCGTGGTGGCTCACGCCTATAATCCTAGCGCTTGGGCGGCTGAGGTGGATGGATTACTTGACGTCAGGAGCTCAAGACCAGCCTGGCCAACATAGTGAAACCCAGTCTCTACTAAAAATACAAATATTAGCTGGGCATGGTGGTTCACATCTGTAATCTCAGCACTTTGGGAGGCCAAGGTGGGCAGATCACTTGAGGTCAGCAGTTCCAAGACCAGCCTGGCCAACATGGTGAAACCCTGTCTCTACTGAAAATACAAAAATTAGCCAGGTGTGGTGGTGCATGCCTGAGGTCCCAGCTACTCGGGAGGCTGAGGCAGGAGAATCTCTCAAACCCAGAAGGCGGAGATTGCAGTGAGCTGAGATTACACCACTGTACTCCAGCCTGGGCAACAGAGCGAGACTCTTTCTCAAAAAAAAAAAGAAGGAAACTTTTTAGGTGCAAGAAATGAAGAGTGGAAAAAGGCTGAGTAGAAGGCTTGAACTGACACTGCAAGCACCCAGGCTGAGAAACCAATCCAGACAGAAGCAACAGGGCTTACAAGCAGGGTTTCTGCCCTCTGGAGACAGGAGGCAGGACACGGAGGTGCCATGGTTGTGCAAGTCCAGGGCACTCAAACATAGGCCTAGTCCCATTTTCACCATTTCAAGTGTGCCGTGCAGGGGCCTCAAGCTCATTCACACTGTGGGGCTTGCGTCAGCCTCAGCCATCCCCGGAGCCCACTCTGTCCACTCGCTATGGGGTCTCCTGGAGTTTCACGTTGGTCCTTTCTGTTGCTGCGGTGTCAAGTTCACCCGTCTCTCTCCTGCATCCCAACCAGTACGTTCGTGTCTCCTCGATGGTATTTCTTTCATCTCTAGAAGTTTTATTTGGGTCTTTTAATAATTTTTCATATCTCTTCTCAACATGTTTACATTTTCCTCTACTTCCTTGAACACACAGATTTATAATAACTGTTTTCACCTTCTTTACTATCATTTGTATTATTTCTCGCTCTATTTCCGTTGTCTGAGTTTTCTCATTAGAGATCATATTTTCCTACTTCCTTGAATCATGTCTGGTAATTTTTGATGTCAGACTTTGCTAATTACTCCTAATTGGGTGCACCATGTTTTGGCCCTCCTATCCCAGTAATTTTTCTTCAGCTTTATTATGGGATGCCAGCAGTTACTTGGAAACAACTTGATTCCTCAAGGCTTGCGTTTAAGTTCTGCCACGTGGCACCAGCAGCCTTCATTCCAGGGCTAACTTCTCGCTCGACCCAAGGCCTCGCGTATCACGAGGTATTTCTGCCCTGGCGGGAGCACTCACAATTCCCAGGCCTGTGTGAGCTCTGCGGACTGTCTCCCAGGCTTCTCCCCAGTGGTTCTTTCCCGGCCTCGTCCTTCTTCCCGCTCCTGTGCTGGACAGTGCTCAGCTGAGGCTTGAGGGGAGCCCTCTGCCCTTCTCCAGATGTGACCCTATCAAGCAGCACAGTCTGCTGCTAGGGAGAGGAAGAGGCCTCGGGCACTGACGTCCTTCCGAGGAGCAGGAGGGCAGAGCCTGGGAGCAGGACCACTCAGCCAGCCCTTGGTAGCTGAAGGAGGATGAGCAGGGATTTGCAAAGGCCACACACATTGCTTCTGAGCCTTCCAGGGCTCTCCTACCACCCTGGGAATACACCACGACCTGGTGCCGAGGAAGGCATCTGACAGAAAGCCTTATAGTTAGTTGCTATCATCACAATGAAATTACTGTCAACAAACTGGATACCTAAAAAAATGTCGATTTACTTAAAACGATGAACATATGGATGACAGATGTCCCTCGACTTATGATGGGGTTGCAACTTGAGAAACCCATTGTAGGTTGAAAATATTACAAGTTGAAAATGCATTTGATACACTTAATTTACCAAGCATTGTAGCTCAGCCTAGCCTGCCTTAAATGTGCCCAGAACACACACATTAGCCTACAGGTGGGCAAAGTCACCCAATGGAAAGCTTCTTGTACGCTTAAGTGTTGACTGTTTCACGTAGTTTATTGACTACTGTACTAAAAGCAAAAACCAGAAGGGCTGTAATGGTCCTTGAGGCACAGTGTCTACTGAATGTGTATCTCTTTCGCACTTTCCTAAAGTTGAAAAATCGACATCAGGGACCGTCTGTATTTACAATCACAATTAGTCAAAATGATAGGATAAATCGCACATTTCATTACTCAAACCCCAATGCAAAACTTGTACTTTTAATGTGGAAGTTTGCTTTATATGACACCTTGAAAAGCACTTACCTTTCAAAATGATACGTCTTATTAATCAGAGGGTGGCCAGGACGATCACATTTCACCAGAACTGTTTCCTGAGAGAAAAGAGTAAAACAATGTCGTAAGACTTTGTGGGCTGCGTTAATTAAACACAAGCCCCACCAACCCCAGTGTGCCGCCTGTTTTTGTAAACAACAAAGTTTGCCTGGAACACAGCCCCACACTTTGTTTACATGCTGTGTACTGCTGCTTCTTCCTCAAGGGCAAAGTTGGATGATTGAGTTGGAGACCACATGGCCTTCAAAGATGAAAATATTAACTCCCTGACCCTTTCCTGAAAAGGTTTGCCAACCCCATAAAGAGAAAAGAAAGTCGCATCTATTGAGGAATGCACAACAGAGCTCCTCAATCTGCCCTAGGCTGAGGGTTCAACACCCGAATTACCGACTCTAAGGGCCTTTGATAGTTTGCAGGAGAGATAAGGTTTTCAAATGGCTAAAGAAATCACATCTCAGACATCATTATATTCCATTGTAACCCATGGAACTAACATGTCTGTTTCAAAAACAAATCTCGATCTTGCGGGACTGTATTCTTAAATTATAACCTGTGTAACGGAAGCAAAGGCATTTTTCAGCAAGAAATCTGAAATTAGTTTAGTTTCACTTAAGCAAAGAAAAGATGAACCTGGATTGGTTCCACTTCTTTTTTTTTTTTTTGCAAAGAAAGATGAACCTGGATTGGTTCCACTTTTTTTTTTTTGAGACGGAGTCTCACGTCGCCCAGGCCTGGAGTGCAGTGGCTGGATCTCAGCTCACTGCAAGCTCCGCCTCCCGGGTTTATGCCATTCTCCTGCCTCAGCCTCCCCAGTAGCTGGGACTACAGGCACCTGCCACCTCGCTAGTTTTTTTGTATTTTTTAGTAGAGACGGGGTTTCACCGTGTTAGCCAGGATGGTCTGGATCTCCTGACCTCGTGATCCGCCCATCTCGGCCTCCCAAAGTGCTGGGATTACAGGCTTGAGCCACCGTGCCCAGCCTGGATTGGTTCCACTTCTAAAACAAAATATGTATTCATGAAAAAGCAGCGGTAACAGGAAGAATGAAAACCACAACTCAGTGGCAAATAACCCGGAGGCACTGGATTTTTTCTAACAGTGTTTAGCGGATGCTAGGATGATACCTCCACACCGTCTTCTTAGTAGTGTGTGTGTCTGTGTGTGTGTGCACGTGTACCTGCAATAACATGTCAAAGAAGTGGCCTATTTTGTAAAGACAAAAGCTGTGAGATTCAACAGCTGTTTGTGGTGGTTGTTGCTGTTTGTTATTTGCTTGCTGCTGGATGGGCGGTGGTGGGCAGCTGCTGGAGTCTTGTTGCGTCTGGATTCTGTGAGGTCTCCGACGTGAAATGCTGATGTAATCAAATAGTGAACCTTTCCTGTCCTGCCAGAGGTGAAAGGCTGCAGGAATCCCTGGCATGCATCTGGGTGAGGCAGCTCAGGAAGCAATGATTGAACACCAGCCTCAGCCCTGTGCTGCCTGGGGACAGGGCCTCGGCTGTGCCTTGGAGGCAGCCTTGGGTTGCTCACTGCCCCAAGCCCGCTGCTATTGTCCTGTGTAATGAAACAGCGCCCTGGCTATCCCCCTAACTGGCCTCTGCCTCCAGTCCAGCACCTCTCCCATCTGTCCTTTATGTTGTTGCTGTAGAAATCTTTCTCAAATGCAAATTAGAAAAGAAGAAAGCAGATGAAAGAAAGTTAAGAGGGAGGGAGTGGGTGACACAGAATGCCACCTGTTGCCGAGAGGTGGCCTGAGTCCTTATTTCAAACTCTTGATTGGACTTGGTAGACGGGGAGGTCACTTGCTACCATGATGTGTATCCAGTTTCCTGGGATGACTTTTGGGAAAGCGGGTGGAGATACAAGCTTGACCGCAGTGACTCTGGCAATGCCGGGAGGAGCAGCCGGTGGCTGGGGGCAGTCCGTGGCCTCTAATGCATCACAGAAGCGACCACCAGGATGCAGAGCTTGCCGGCACGGCTTTCACAGAAGAAGCTTATGTCTCTACTGAGTATTTACTGGGCAGTTATTGTGTACCAGAAACTGTTTCAGAACCTGCATGTTCTTACATGATAATGTCACATCCCCTATGTCAGAAGCAGCTCTTCAGTTCCTTTCACACTCAAAACACCAAAGCAAAACTCCGACACCCAACAGGATCAAGCCCCTGGCCTCGCCGTAAGAACAGACCTCCCAGTCCCTAATCCAACCACCAGCCTTTCTCGTGGCATATTTTCATTTTTCTTCTGTCCACTTAGGGTATACTGTTCCTTTGGTACTATGCCAGAATGTAATCCTAGTGCTCCAGTATGAACTGCACGGGAACACACACACCCCAAAGTGTTTTACTGCTGTCTTCAAATGTCCAAGTTTTAACCATAAAGAAAAGCAAATGAAAAACGCAAAGGTCTACAATGTCTGACCCGAAAGCTCAAGGGACACCATACAAGAAACATGCAAAGCCATAAAAACAAGCCTGAGTCCAAAAAGTCCCCCACGCGACTTAGAGCTCCATTCCACAGCGTGATCATTCGATCTTAAACATCCAAAATTATTCCACAGCGAAGTTTAATTTTTCCAAACAGCTTCAATGCTTTCCTGTCTGTCCAAAAACCCTTCCCACTCCTGATACTAAATACCCTTAATCTCACAAGAAGGATTCATTTCTCTTGGCTTTTTAAACAATTTTGTCTTATCCAAATTTTCAAGCTCTTGACAGCATCCTTCTTTTCAAGATAGGATTGCCCATCTGGAGCCACTTCCCTGAAGAGGCCTGCACACACCCGCAGGGGGGACGCATGGCCCCTGCCTCAGGAATCACAAGGTTCCCATGAAATAACCTGTGAAAGCACCTGGCTCAGAGGCAATGATCTCTAAAAGCTGTTTTTCCTTACATTTACCTGCTGTAGCATCCAGTTTTTGATTTATATCCAATTTCCTAGGATAACTTTAAAAGCACTTAGGGCATAAAATTCTTTGTCATCAAATGTTAGAGCTAAAAGTACATTTAATTCACCCTCTCCATTTTAAAGAAGGAAACCTGAGAGGAAGAGGAGACCGGTGAATGACATGCAGACAGAGTCAGGGACTCTCCCAGAGGCAGACACAAAACAGCCAGGAGGGAGGGACTGCACATCAACGCGCTCCGTGCAAGCCAAGGCTGCCTGCTGCGGGTATCAACAGTCCTGTGGATGGCAGTTCAAGGCCCGGTGAACCCGAGTTAAAAAAGAACAAGTAATGTATTAAGGACCATACAGTCTCTGACCATTAAAAATTTTGTCTCAGGTGTATCACATCTATCAATCCTGCCAAGCACCACCACAAAAACATGCTTTACATTGGCTTCATGTAACTAAATAAGTGTCATTTGATACATAGGCTCTGTCGACTGTATTCAGACATTCAAGTCAGTAACTGGCAAACTTAACAATAAGGGAGAATCACGGATGAACAAAGACAGTTCAGCAAGAACTAGATACAAAGCCAGAAATCTGTTCTCCCATGTCTGATTATCAACTGAGTGGATATAAATTAAATCAAAAATGAAAATAAACAGCCTTTAAGACAGCCGCCAGGAACTCGGGCAGTAGCCAGATTCTCCATCTGAGATCGACTTTATTAACAGATTGAATCCAAACGATGAAACGCTGAATTAGATTGCAAATGGACATGAAGTGCCGTGTTACACGTCCAGTACAAACTCAAACTCTGTTTAGACTTTTGGAAATAAAAACATAATGTGGGAGCCAGGAGATACAGGGTCACAGAATGGATGATTTGCTTTCTCAGCAGATTTGATGGCACAAAGCCCTCTAGCGAGCAGGCCTATCAAATTAAAAAGCAACATCTTGGATTCTGATTTAAAAAAAAAACAACAAAAAACAAAACCATAATCCAAAATGCCCCAATAAAATGTTATTTTGACGGGTAAGATGGAAAACTTCAAATATCTGAATCTGAAGATTCGGTGGAACTTTGGCAGGAACGGGAGAGGCCTGCCAAGAGAATGAATAAAGTAACAAGGAACAGTAGTTAATAATCATAATAAGCCTTCCCCAGGGGCTGGGGCCAGGCCTCAGCCTCAGTATGCATTTCCTCACTGAAAAACTCCTTCAGGTTAACCAGGACACTCGCAGACTGAGGGAAGTGTAGAAAGGCAATTACTAAACCACAAACACTAGGGTGTGTTCACTTATAAAAGAAGGAGATTGACAAGGGGAGGGGATTGATAAGGTCCCAGGGCTCCTGTTAAAAGATCAAAGTCCTGATCATGAGGATTTAATCTGTCTCCTTTTGTTTGACTCAAGCATACTGGTGCTTAAGGCATCAAGTGAGATAAAATATATATATATTTGCATGGTGGAAGCAAAGTCAGCAAGACGCTGACCAGAGAGAGCTGGTGCTCAGCTCCCTCCGCCCAAGAAAGGACCAAGGCAATGACTACACAGCTAAGCTCTGACTGTGTGGAAGGAAGAGAGCTGAGATCTGGCGGAGTGCGCAGTGCATCATGGGAGTGGAGAGACACCTGTGTTGATTGGAAGTCCAGGAGGACAGAGTGGAGGCAGCAGGCTTCTGCAGCCCCATCTCCCCTGTCTGGGCCAGATCTGTCTGGAGTCACAAGGGACTTCCCGTTGCAGGGAAAAGGGAAGCAGCAGATCCCCACCAGCTCCCGTCACCACAGAAAACATCTACAGTCCTTACACCAGGGGAATCCTGCAGTCCTCGCAAGCCCTGAGCCATCTGGGAGCTGCAGGAAGTTCATGGCGCAGCTCCATAGCCCCAGATTAGGAGCACAAGGTGTGCACTGCTCACTCCCCAGCCATCCCTGTGAGCCAAGCTGCTGCAGCACAGCCCCATCTTGAGACCAGAGCCACCTCTGGAGCATACCCTGCTCTGGGGAACAGAAACCATGGCCATTCTCCAGCCTTGGAGCTCTATCTTCATGACGCCAAGCCCTCATGTGTGGCTGAACATCACAACCCCAGCTGCATGGAGCCTGGGCTCAGGATTGGCTGTGACTCTGGCCTTGCACAGCAGG